GGGGTGCTGAGGCCTTTGGAGTTTTTCATAAGGGAACAGAGGGGAAATGGGAGAGGGGTCAAAGTGTGAAGCGCGATGATTGGGCTTGGAATAGAAGAAAACACGTGTTTAGATCAAGTATCAGGGTAATTTACCAGTATCCGGTTTTCAATGAAAATGACAAAAAAAAATACTGTGAAAAATAATCAGCCACTAAGAAAAGGGCTTAATATAGCATATGTGTTTTTAAAAGACAGGAAAGCTTCGTTCTTGGAATAGACCATTTCATATCGGGTAAAAGGATCCGATGCCATTTTTTCTCAATTTCAAGAATCCATAGTAGAGTATACCTTATTCATTTCTCTTGCTAGATCCACATCTTTCTGTGTTATCTCATTCCCCGCGTCGTGCGTGGTCAATTCCACGTGAATTTTCTTGTGTACATTTGTCCAGGAAGGGTGGTGTTGCATGCGCTCACAGATCGGGCCCATACGTTGCATAAAATCCAATGCCTGTGGAAAAGTTTTGAACGTGTAATCACATTCCATGGTGTATGGCGTCGAGCCGCATAACTTCCACCCATACAAACCCTGCAAGGCTTGCGTTACCGCAGGTGCGGAGAGGGGCCTTGGGGAAAAATATTTAGGACTCAGACGCCACATGATGGTTAATACACTTCAATAATTTTGAGAAATTTTGTAGTTTGCTACTTTTTATAATGAGTAATAGAACTAAATTGAGAAAGCCATAAAGTTGTGAACCCTCAAGAAACAGAAAGAGCGAAAAAGTGAATAAACACATTATTAAAAATATCATAGTAACCATAAAACGATGTACTATTCCAACTTCAAATAAGCAAAACAATGTAAGTAATGAGATCTGTGAGACTTGCTGGACCAGTCTGAAGTTTAATTTTGTACTATATAATGCTAAAATTGAAAAGACGAAGGATACCTATTCCTTAGCCGTGCTAATTTAATTACTGCTCTGTAGCTGGATTTTCACTCTCAGCCTTGTTTAATACTTCTAAAAGCTTGACCTCGTCTTGTTTCAGTCTTTCGAGTACAGAAAGCATTTGTCGCCTTTCCTCCTCTAAATGCAAGGTTCGCGTGTCCAGGTATTGCAAGAGAGCTTTTGTAGTTTCAGGCAAGTCATTTGTTTTATCTGTAGATGATGTTAATTGATTCTGCATTAGTATAAACAATTCTCTTTAATGCGTATAAGCACACCTAAAGTAAATAAAAAGGAACAGAAATGTATTTATTTGATGAGCATCATCTTTGTAAATTAAGAATTTGACTTGAAAACGAGATGCAATCACGACAATGATGACTTTCAATAACACAGAAACATTACCTAAATTGACTTACTCGTAAAACAGATTTTTCAGAGTTTAGAATTGAGGTGTCTTTAATTCAGCAAACAAAACTAGTGCACAGAAACCAATATAGGATCAATAAACAATAAAAATCCATAAAAAAATCCAACGAAGTTTCATTGAACGGATTACCCTCAGGGGATTTTTTTTCACTCTCATCTGAATATTATTTAGGTCTTCCGTAGCTCCACATCCACAGTAATACTATGGCACCGTATTGCTTTTAAAACCCTACTGGGGTCCGAGGTAACGATTAATATACCGTATTATCGTCAAGTTTACCTTATTTCCACATGGATCAGTGTATTGTCAAGGTTTTATATAAACCCTTATATACCTTCTCATTTGTTGTGTATATCGCCATAAAAGCTTATGATGATACCTCCATCGAGATGTAATGGTAGGTTCAGAAAATTATCTTAAAAAGTGCATTATTCTTATACGACGATACGCTGCGGAAGACCATGACAAGTACTTGTGAAATTACCCTGAGAGACGAATTGAGCTTAAACAAGACTGATTTTATCCAAAGTCGGACAGAGTATCCGAATGCGATTCACCGTAGCCGCTACCAGTGGACGGATAAAAATCAAACAAAAATTATCGTAAGGCGCACTATGTCAACCACACATCACTACGCACATGGGGAACATCAGAATTATACTTATTATTTTCATCATGAGAAGTAAATAATTCTGAATGTTTTACAAAAGGCTAGTTATAGGCAAAAACATTGCTTTGCTTTCTTTAACAAACGATTTTGGGGTGTACTGCAAAAAAAATTCTTTAGACAAAAATTGAATTAATAAACCTTCTCAGTACTTGTAGAGAAATAAATAGTTTATTACGGTAGAAACTACATCAAGTAGTAGAAAATGGGAGAAAAAAACACAACCTTCTTGAGCTTGGTACACTTTAGTTATTAAATTACAAACCAAAAAAAGATCCATAGGATGTACACTTAAATTTGATCGGAATCCTAGATAAAATGTACAACATAAACACTCAAGATTCAGAAAGAGAAATTATTGATAAATTTTTAGAAATAAAACTCAAAATGCAAAATAAAAGACAAATAAATTTATAAAATGTTAAACCTAATAATTACAACAAAAGAGTGCTCGACGATATCCCGTCTTAATCTCTGTAACCGTTACTGACATATATTTTCACAAGGCGTAAAATAATTTTATGATAATGTATCACTTTATCAGCTCAACAATAGCTTTAACGGGGAAGTTTAAAACTCAAGGTTTTCCCTTATAGCAACATGGAATCTCCCCTAAAGGTTTAAAATAATTTTATAAGTTTCCTTGCAATAAGCTTTCAAAAATCGAGAGTGTTATTAAGGAATACCTAAAGCATATATATTCTATATTTGGACCTCAGCGTTGAGAGACTAAGGTTAGGATCAAGAAACAAATATTACTAGTTAAAATGGTTCAACCGCTGTTCGATATGTGCATTTATATCGTCGATTAGGAGAGTAAAAAAAACATATACTATACCTAGATCTATGACTAATTTATAGAAACGATTTCGGATTTTTTTTCAAATAGACTTTCACGTAAATAATTATTTGTATAAATTTAACGAAAATATATTTACTACAGAAAACCATAAAAGTCACCAAGCCTATTGTGCGGAAAAAATGGTAAGCATTTGTATCATCAGCCCCTTTTCTTTTTACAAGGTAATTTATGTCTATTTGCAGTGTAGCCTATGTTCTAAGTTAAAAAAATCAGCCTCATAATCTCTTTGTCGAACGGCAGCACTTCCTTCGGTGTCTATATCTGTTATAGCCTACTGCGACAATTAATGAAAAAGGAGACACTGCAAACAACTTCGTACCAAAACAATTATAATTCTTAAGCAATGGTGAAACGTGTATATTTAAGAGAAATACCTCGGATGATTAATTATCTTATTTTTTGAGACCGGTGAGGTTTAAATCTAAACATCCTAAACAGGTTTCGAAACTTAGCCACACATTCGCCTGTATTAAACTTTATTGAGTTTTTTATATCAAAAATTTTTTGTGCCTTTAATTTTTCGGAGATTTTTCCACATAAAATGGGACTCCTTTATTATTTGCAAAGAAAACGCCTTGTTTTTAAACTCACCATCGAACACAAATTTGTTTTCGATCCCCCCTTGGCATATTTTATAGACGCGAAACCACTCTCGCATCGCATCCAGGCAACCCGGTAGGAACTTGGGTACATCGTTGATATCCTTGACAAAGCGCGAAACCGGATCATTCACCGAGATGCACACAATCTTCCAGTCCATCTGCCCGTTATCGATCATGCCGAGGGCCCCGAGGACCTTGACCGGCTGGACATCCCCCACCCGCATCTGCCGCATCCCAATTTCCACGACGTCGATCGGGTCGTTGTCGCCCTTGTACTCGTCGTGAAAAGTCACCTCGGTGCTCTCCCAGGTCTGAGGAAAGGCGCCGTAGTTCCACATCATATCCCCGTGCTTGTAAAAGCGCGGGACGCCGTTTTTGATGTCCTGCTTAATCGGGTTAAAAGGCTCGTCGGTGGCGATCTCGAACTTGGCGCGGGTCCATTTGGGGATCTCGCAGATCATATTAAAGCGATTAGCCGGGATATGCTCGGGTTTGGTCCGCAATGGGTCGCATACCTGCAAGGGGATGTCATGCCAAGGGCTCACCTGCCGTAGATAGGCCGTCTCGAGATCTTTAAAAAAGTACCGAATGCGGTAGCTCGGGGTGAATTTTTCGCCTTCCTCGCACTTCTTGAGTTGTTGTTGGTGATACGGGACGGAAAAGTCAGCGGAGACGAGAGAAAAGGCCTTTTTGGTGATGTTCGTGTCCGGGCAATTAATCCACCAATTCCAGAACTGCTCGAAGGTGACCTCGCCATCACCCGCGCACAACTCCGCAAACATCTTATCCATCGTCTCCGCCCTCACGGAGCGCCCGACGTACTCGCACAGCTCCTTCAATCGGGAGATATCCAAATAGCGCTTTTGCTGGACATCAAAGGCGTTGAACATGCGGCGGATGATTTTTTGTTGTTGGTACTCGGTGAGTCCTTCTTTGGAATAGGCCGCGCAATCATACTCCGTCACCGTTGGGAAGTCTTTTTGATTCTCACATGGCGACCCATAGCAGGAGTTTACATTCACTTCGGTCGTCTCGAACTCATTGGTGATGCCCGTTCCGAATTTTCGCAGCATGTGCGTTGGGCATTTCACCTCCACTAAAGGACTAAACTCCTGGGTATCAGAGGCCATGCTATCCTTCAAGGAAGGATGTTCATCCATGAAGTGGTCGGAATCGTAATGAAAAAGGTGCATGTATTTTTTTAATTGAAGTTAGATGATCTTAAGATGATATTGGTGCGAACTTGATAGTGGGAAAAATAAAATAAAATGAGAATCATCATAAAGCAGAATTTGTACGCAAAAACAATTTTCGGCATATTGTAGCATAGAAAAATCCATCTATAAGGAGATAGACACAACTAGTTGCACTTAAAGAGAACCTTATTATGTCATAACATATATATATATAGATTTATATAAATGCCTACATGCATAAATATACACCTGCAGAATCACAACGTCAGAAAAGTCCATTTAAACCTCTTCCCTGTCCCTGCTTAACAGTTGGCAACATCGCTCGATCTCAAAGGTGTCGTTTGGCAGTGGCCAAGACGGACTCCATCCTTGTTAAGGCGGCCTGTCTTTTCTCCACCTCTGAATTCAGGTGATTTAGCAAGGCAAAGCGTCCGGTTTGATGGATCTTTGATCGAATCCCCGCTTGTAGTCTTCCCACACGCTCCTTCAGCTCCTGAATAATAACTTCGGCCTCATCTTCATTCGGGGCTGCAGTTGGGCCGAGGGAACGACACACCGCCTCCACCAGCCAAGTATACGAGGTGTAGAGTTCATCAATTTGTTCAAGTAGCGCCAAAGACGGGGTTGGAAATGGGGGCGGTTCGTTATTCCGAATTTCCTCACTTTTCGCATTATTTTCCCCACTAGCCTCAGCTTCGGCCATAACGTCGATGCTTCCTACCAGTCTGCGAAGCTCCGGCGGCATATCCAAGATAGAGGCATCAACCCTAATCTTAGAGCTCTCATCTAAGACGTTACCACTTGACATCTTGTTTGCTATAAATAACGGTTTGGGCTCATTACTATAAATAGATAATACTATGGTGTTGATAAAAAGGAAAAAAGAAGAAGAGTCCAATACTTAAAGAGAGGTTAATATAAAATTATTGTTACCTTTTTTTCTTTACCTCAAACAATTCTAATGCACAAACTCGAAATACGGTATACTTCATTCGTTGAATCAGAGAGTAGTCATGATATTCGAGCAAAAAAAAAGAAAAATTACTGTTTGAACAAGTCGGACTCATGAAACCAAACTACGTCCAAATATGCACATTACAGTAAGTAAAAAAGAAGAACCGCAACCATACCTACAATAGTATAAAACTTCTTTGGACACCATTCATTAGGCTCACTCAACAAAGATATCGGATTAACCATGAAAACCTATACCTTCACCTACGACCCAATCTCTACTTGAGGCCCTTGTGGATAATTCATTATACCTTCTGCGGGGTTGAAGAGTGTGACCACATCCTCTTGTACAAACGACATCGACCCAAGGCAGCACTGAGTATTGGTATTATTATTATTGAGAATACGACTTTCCCAGCTATCCATTAGTCGAATGGAACAATGAGGAATCCTCATACAGATACTCCCACTGCTTCTTTTTGATCTCCGCCGATAGCTGCGTGTTCGCCTCGGACAAGGACTGCAAAGACCCTGCCATAGAAAGAGAATCGTCCTTGAGCAAGTCCGCCACCGCCTCCAACTTTCCCGGCTTAAACGAAAGATCCAACGAATGGCAAATCTGTTGAATGCTTCGTCCGGATGCGGGGGGAAAGAGCACAATAACGTCCCCCTCCGCGCCCATCCGCCCCGTGCGGCCCGCGCAGTGCACAAAATCGGTGGCCGAAGGGCGTCCCCCGTAGAGAATGACGTGGGTGATCCCATCCACGTGAAGCCCGCGGCTCATCGCAAAGCTCGAAACCCCCATCAACAGATCCCCCGCGTTGAGCTTAGCGAGGGCGCTGTTGTCCTTCACGTAGACATGCCGGGGCTTGGATATTAACTGGGCCCGCCGTGGGGCCCGAAAGACATCCGTTTTCGTATTTTTGGCGTTTTCCGCGATGCCCTTTTCGCCCCCCAGACCCATCGCGGCAGGGTCGTCGTTTGGGGCTGGCAAAGTAGCGCATAAAGGGGCGGCAAAGAGGCGTTCGCGGCCGAGCGGCCCCGCCGTCAGAAACGCCGCGGACTCCGGGATGTCGGACTGAAGCCCGTCGACGAGTAGTTTGCACAGCGGCCCCACCTCCTCCTCCGCGGTGAAAAGCAGAATCCGCGGGGCCGCGACTTGGCGGCAAATCAGCCGCAGAATCAGCGCCAACCCCGCCG